CCCCCAGTCAGGATACTTTAAGAGGGGAGGATTTCAACTCCCAGAATCCTCCAGCCAGCCTCCTTTAAGATGGATGGACTTCAACTCCCAGAATTCCCCTGGCTGGCTGGGGAATTCTGGGAATTGAAGTCTACAAGTCTTAGGAGACCTCTGGCCTAGTGGGTTGGCACTTGGAGCCCCTCCAATCAGAGGTGGCTTTCTTGGGGAGTGGTATTGTTTCGAAGCAGAGCTTGGAATTACAGGCGGTCTTCAACCAACCTAACAAGCATTCATTCAGCAACCAATGGCACTGAAAAAAAAAAGAGACTTATGTCTGGTCCTCATAGTTATGACTGTTGCAGCATTCCTGCGGTCACGTGATGAAAATCCAGGCGCTTGGCATTCATTTGTGACCTTTTCAGTCTCCTGGGGTCAATCCGGTTCCCCTTTCTCACTTGCTGGCTTCTGGCAAGCAAACTCAAGGAGGGAGACCGGTTCGTTTAACAGCAGCAAGATTCACATAACGGCCGTTATGCCAATCAAACAGAAATTGGGCTTGTTAAGTCGAGGACTTCCTGTATAGGTAGTCCTCGACTTACGACCACAATCGAGCCCCAAACCTCTGTTGCTAAGCAAGGCAGTTGTTATGTTCAATTTGCCCCACATTTTACAACTTCTCTCCACGGTTGTTTGAAGTGAATCACGGCAGTTCTTAAAGTTCAGTCGCAAAGTCACTAAGTGAATCTGGCTTCCCCCGGGACACTGCGCCTGCCGTAAGTGTGAGTCAGTGGCCAAGCCTCCGAACCCTCATCATGTGCCCAATGGGGATGTCGCCACGGTCGTAAGTGTGAACGATGGTCGTAATAAGTCACTTCTTTGCAGTGCCGTTGTAATTTCGAACGGTCACTAAATGCAGCTGTTATAAGTCGAAGACTACCTGTACTCTTGGGGACTTTTGGGGGGTTGGAGGCTGTCAGAAAGCTGGATCCTGGAATTTGTGGGTGGGTGGGGTGATCTCTTTGTGGCGGTGCGGAGGCGTTGCTAGGTAGCGCCTGGCCTGTTTTCCTTGCATTCCGAGGATCGGAGCCAGAAATTCCGACCGGCCGCATCAGGGGCTCCAGGCAGAGGCCGGCCAGGAAGCCAGGAAGGGAAGCTGGGCTGGGGAGAAAAAGGAAAAGGATGAAATTTTCCTTCCAAATATGGGAAAAGCCACATCCCGACAAGTCCCAGCAGATCAGCTTGCACATGTTTTCCACTGCAAGGGAGGGTGCAGAAAGGGGGGAGGGAGAGAGATTAGATAGATAGATAGAGAGAGAGAGAGAGAGAGAGAGAGAGATAGGTAGGTAGGTAGATATAGACAGAGAGAGAGATGGATGATAGATAGATAGATAGATAGATAGATAGATAGATAGATAGATAGATAGATAGATAGATAGATAGACAGACAGACAGACAGAAAGACAGATAGAGATATAGGTAGGTAGGTAGATAGATATAGACAGAGAGAGAGATCGAAAGATAGATAGATAGATAGATAGATAGACAGACAGACAGACAGACAGACAGACAAAGACAGAAAGACAGATAGAGATATAGAGATATAGAGATAGGTAGGTAGGTAGATAGATATAGACAGAGAGATGATAGATAAATAGATAGATGATAGATAGACAGAGACAGACAGACAGATAGAGATATAGAGGTAGGTAGGTAGGTAGGTAGATATAGACAGAGAGAGAGAGATGGGATGATAGATAGATAGATAGATAGATAGATAGATAGATAGATAGATAGAT